TAATTAATTGATTTTCATAACCCGGCCGGGTCGAAATTCAAAAACTTGTAAAAAAATTTTTTTATATGTTTTAATAATCGGGTGGTTTTTTTAAAAAAAAATTCTAGAAATTTTATAAAATTTTTATATATGAAATTTAAAAAAAAAAGCCGGCCAGCCGGGTCAGTTTAAAAATTTCATGTTATGAAAATCAATAAATTAAATTTGTATGGCCTAATAGTTAAAGTTAAGGTTATTTTTATTGGCTATATGTACTAAGTTGTTACAAATAAGCATACGTATAATATTGGATATGCAGTATACTATGTAAATCCAAACTATATATGGTATCATAAAAATTTCATATTAAAGATTGTGTATTCAAAATTACAAGTTCAAAGATTATGAAATATTTAATTAAATGCATAGCCTTTAAACCCATTATTCAAAACCCAAATTTTGCACGAAGCAAGGTTGAGTTTCAAAGAACAAAGTTATGAAGCCAAATAAGTCTCTCAATTAAAAAAAATTGTCGGTTATATAAAAGTTTTTTTTAAGCAAATAAAATAACGATTGTGTATAAAAAAAAAACCTAAAAAAATAAAATTTCATAAAAAATGTAAAAACAAACCTCATAATTCTGTGAATATGATAACAGCGAACCAATTAATATAAAAAAACAATTTATTAAAAAAGAAGTTCGATTTGTGTATCTAAAAAAGGGAGACCTAGTTTTTATATATAAACCATATATTACATAATGATCACTAAAAAAATCAGACTGATTAAACTATTTAATGACCACATATACTTTGATTTACATAGTATACTATATACTTCAATATAACATATTAAGATTTGTTCAATTAATATAATTGATATTTAGACATTTAATTGTATTTGTACTGAATATAATCTCTAATAAATTAGATAGATTATATTTAGTACAAAATATAATTCAAAGTCTAAAACTGTAATTTTTCTTTAGCAACATTCAGATTAATAGCAAACCTACTTTAAGGGCCGTACAAGACTTGATAATGCTTAAAAAACAATAGTAATGACTATTCCAACGGGTTGCATTTGGTAACATAAGAGATATATACTTATTGTTATATGTCAAAATTTGTTCATCTCGAAGTCATCCCAAAAAAAATGTAGACCGATTAAAAAAAGTTTTGATAGTTGATGAATATCAAAATATATCACCAACAGCCAGGTTCATTTGATGTGTAAAACAAGGTATAAAAACCTTATTAGGATAAGAAGTTCGAAGACGTAGTCGAGCTGCCATAAACTCAGAAGCAGAATCAGTTACAAGGCAATTAACTTTAATATTATTTTTTTCAAATTTGGTAAAAAGATCATTAGTAATTTTTACAACCTCAGGCGTTTTCCTGAAAGATCTTCTGCACTCCAAATTAACATTTTGCCATTTGAATTAATTAATGCTATGCCTAATAAACTTTCCTTTTTAATATTCTTCCAACCATCATAAGTTAATGTAACACCAAGCTTATCAGTTTGCATGTCTTTTTTAATAGTTTCATAGTAGTTTCAGCAGCATTGGTTAAAATTCAGCCTGAAAGCGTATGACGTTTTGGTAATTCAATAGCAGGATTAATATAATGAAAAAGGTTTCTTATTTCAGGGTCATCAACCCAAGAAAAAGCAAAGTCGGGTGTTAACATCTTTGCATACAACACTTTCAATATCCCTAAGAAATCTAAACCATGGCTACTTTCTTTTAATAAACATGAAATAATTATAGGCAAAATTCGAATGCACTTCTTAGACTCCAATACATTCTCCATCACTCACTGTCAAACAAATATTGATACACATTATACTGAATTTTATCCACTTTCACCCATTATTTGCAGTCCATGCCCTGGCTGTAATCTTAACTCAAATAGAATTTCTTCAGCTTGCACTATTAATATA